TAGGAAGAAAAGGTCTAAAGGAGCAGGGGAAGTGGGAGGGGTAGGGGAAAGGAAAGAAGGGAAAAGAAAAAATATGAAAAAAGGAAAAAAATGGAAACAAAATCTTTGCAAATAGGGAAGGGAGGGCAGGGGAAGGGGAAAAAAATAAGAACCAAGATACTCATGTAAAGGTACAAGATCCCAATGAGGAATGTAACTGTATTTTATACCTAAAATGTACCAATAAACTTAATGGAAAAAAATTTTTAACAAAATGAGTACAATATATAAAAATAGATACATGACCAAGTGGAGTTCATCCCAGCAAGATTTTAGATTTAACATTTTAACCATTAATTCTAGCATTCTAAAATGAATTAATGTAGTTTTCATAGTAAAGAAAGAAGCCATCTGATTATCGAAGTACATAAAGAAAAGGCTTTAGACAAATGTCAACATAAATAAATACATAAAAAGAGTTCTAATAGAATTAATCTTTACAAAAGTAAAGAAAATCACCCCTAAACACCCATCAATAGGGCTGAAGCACAAGGCTGACAAAGATTGGAGTCAATGACAATGGAAAGCCGCAGAAATGCTCATAAACTACAGGTGGGCCTGTAAAATGTTACAATCGCTTTGGAAATCATTTGGAAGTTGCTTTAAAATCCAGATATCATATGACTCTGATATCCATCTGTTAGGTATTTGCCAAAGAGAAACAAAAGCAAGTGTCCACAAAAAGATCCGTACACACAAATTCATACCAGCTATTTTTAGAATAGCCAAAAACTGAGAATTACCCAAATGTTTTTCAACATGTAAGCAGATAAGTAAACCAGTATTATATTCACTCCGATGGCTTCTAAGTTTATACCTTCATTCCTTCAAGTACAATGCATTTTGTTTATGTGACACTTCATAATAAAGAGAAATCTAGATAAGAGAGGCCATTGCCTCCTTTGCTCAAAACCTAAAAGCAAGACAATATACTTACTGGCACCTGTAGTCTTTGTGTTTTCCTCTTTCTCTTTGACAATCTCCTATCCTTCGAGAGCATTTTTGCTTTGATCCATGCGGATCCTATCTCTGAGGATCTTGAACGACCTGTAAGGGAAATGGTTTATGTGAGAAAGTTTAAGACAGAATGCGGGCCAGTTTTGTTTTACCCAAAGAGTCAAGAGAAGAGAAAGAATGACAACAGTGTAGTCCAAAATCAAAATTTAAAGAAAACAAAAAAACCTATAGTTAAACAAAGGATTTAAACCTGTTTTTAAAAATGCTTGCACCTTACTTTTAATCTTATCGATCTTCATCGGTTTCTCCTCCTTGTGGAATCTAAAACTATGACTGCTAGTAAAGGGTCTGTCTCTGCAGAGAGGGTTGATCCAGAAGGATCTACTTGGCTGCAGCCACTGTTGCACATCCTCGGAGCACTCACTACTTTGGGACAAGCTTGTTGAGTTCTCAGACAGACATCTGCCTTGGATCTCCATGGGACACAGCACACTCGGAGCGGAGTCACTGTTACAAGAGGAAGGCAAGTATGTCTCCCACTTGTTCTTGAAGTTAAACACACCCATGTCATCACCTTCGGAAAATGCCAAGTTCACATATCCATCTCCAGACTGTATGCTTTGGGGTTGGGAAGAGAGGGAAGCTATTGTTGAGGGTGTGGGTGTACAAGTCAGACTGGACTGAACCTGCTCCACTGTGCCTTGCTTGTCTGGCATCTCAGTGACTGGCTCATGCTGCTCTTTGGGTTCAGCCACTGATGCTTGGCCTGAGGCAGCTGGCGTCTCACTCTGCAGAATCTGTTCATTTGCTAGTACATCTGCATCTGCATCCACAGATGGTTTGGACAGAGGCAAGACAGTTTCTGCAGAAGAAGGAACTTGCTTTAGATCAGAAGGAACCAGGAGAAACTGGCCATACTTGGAATTTGCATGCCTATTAGGAGACACCCCAGAATCAACTGTACTTTTTTCTGCTTCTTGCTCGTCCAGGTCATCTCTTATATTTGAGTCCACTCTCTGACTGGCCATAATCTCAAGAAGGGCTGTATTCTGCCCTCTTGAGGGAAATTGGCTTCTAGCCAGGCTCCGCAGCAAAGAAGGGGGCATGCTATAGTATCGGCATTTTGTCTCTCCAGAGATCTCTGCGCTGCCCAAGATCCTTGTGCAGATGACATTGTTCCAGCTGTGGGGAAGTTTTCTGCCAGTGGAATGCTTCCTGTTGGCCAGGAGAGCCTCATCCTCTTGCAATGTGTCAACTGCAGAAAGAACCTTTAGAGTATCCACAGTCAAGGCAGAGAGGTCCTGCAGGTGTCCCACCTGGCTGTCCAAAGACAGCAGGGAATCCTTTATAAAAGACACTTTGTCATTCGTTTCTTTCAGTTGGAAATAAATTTCCGCAACCCTAATGGTGAAAGTGAAGAGAAAATCAATAAACGCATTAAGCCAGTGGGATTTTTTTCTTGCTCTGTCCCTGCCCTACTGCCACGGTTAGGTGATTGCTAAGACTTAGATGCTTCCTAAAGTCTGTCTCCCACCTTCTCTCTCCACTGTACTATATCTTCTCTTCCATATGATTACATCTACTTCTATATTCCCACCGTGACTCCAGTGAGGGAAAACTACAAATGTGCATTGCTACTCCTTATTTCTTTCTAGTATTTCAGAACCACATTTGCAGCTGCCTGAAACTAATCCCCCTTCAATTCTTTGATTAGTCATTCCATTTTTATTCACTAATGTGCTTGTTCATTTACATGGCAAAAACTTGAGCATTTCCTATTAGCAAACATTGTACAATTTTAATGGGAAAAGATATTCTGGGAAAGAAACCAAAATGATGAAAACAAAAACAACAACAACAATAAAAACAACTCAACTCCATAGTTCAAATAGGCTTTTCAAGTTACAAACAAAATCTGCACTAGGAGATGTATTCAGGAAAAAAACTCCTAATTTTTTAAATCATTTTGAATATTTAACCCAAGATTATGATGTTGAGACACATTCATACAAAAGCAATACAACACGTCTTCATTTATATAAATACGAAAGTAAATTGCCTGTACATCAGATTAACTATAACAATTTTATTCAGAGAAAATGAGAGAAAGAGAAAATGTTGGTTAACATTTATCTGTAAATATCTCTTTGGAGATGAGTATTGTTTTGTTCCCCTATCCCACCATACCACTAAAACAAAATGTTGAAGTCTTAATCCCATTACTCCAATGTGTGACCTTTATTTGGAAATAGGATCTTTTTTTAAATTTTTACTTTATTTAGTACATGTTTGCAGTATAGGATGACATTCATCATAGGGATTTGATACACATATGTAACACATTTTAATTTTGTTTTTTGCATCCTCTTCCCTCCATCCCCCCCTCTCCATTTCTTGATACCCTTCCAATATACAAAAGCTCTATCTCCCTGTTTCCCATTATTTATCTTTTATTTTGCTCTTTAATATATTTATACTTTGGATTTCACATATAAGAGAAACCATGCAGTGGACCAGAAAATGGCCAAGTAGTGATTGGTAGCAAAATTTAGCCCCTCCAAGATCCAGATTCCAGACAACTGGAAAATAATAACTTGTTGAAGAGAAAAAAAAGAAATAGATTACTAGGAATCTGAAAGGAACTGACTGGAAAATTAGAAACCACAGAGATGTTGCAAAAATGGACCACAACACAAAGAAAAGAACAAAGTAATCTAGAAACTCAGCTTGGCTTATTGAAGACACAAGGTAAATACTCAGGGCTGGCAACTCCCAGGAGAAACAGTAGAACAGGTCATTGGCACAGTCTCCAGGAGGAGGCCACAGCTATTGTAAACTGCAAAAGCAGTTCAAAGTTACTCCTTCCACATGGCAGGCAATAGCCAGAGAGGAAATCCAGTGTGATGCCCACCATATTGCCAGAGAATGCTTAATCAGGTGCCACTTTAGAGGTTGATGATTTAAGTCTGGAACTCAGAGCAACTACAAACAACACTTCAGGGTTCCCACTGTAGCCCTGCCACAGTAACTGGATGAAAGAACCACAGGAGACAGTCAAGGACAAGGAGCAGGCTAGAAAGAAATTTATTGAGAAGTTTAAACTCAGGCTGAGAGGGACACAGGCCCCACATTCCCTGACAAGACGCCAGGCTAGGCTTGGGTTGTGCACAGAAACAGCTGAGTGTTAAAATTCCACCATTAAGTACTTGAACCCTTGCCCTGCTGCCTACTTCAAGCACAGATCTGAGACCTGATAGTGTTCCCTATCTATCAACGTGAGGAAAGGCACACTTTGACTCAGAAGGTTGCCACAACATGGGGTGAATGGACAGAGTGGCTTCTGGAACATGGGGCATCTCATGAACCCAGTGGCCATAAAGCTAGGTAGAGAAAACTGTGACTTGCTGGAATCCAAACCTGTGGATTCTGGAAAGAAACCACGTATTTAAACATAAAGAGAAAAAAAATTGTTTCTTTTCTTGGGCTTACTTTTTTTTCCTCTTTCTTTTTCACTGGTTTATTGGGATTTGGGAAATTTCTTTTATCCTTTCTCTTTTTTATTTCTTTTCTTTCTTTTTTCTTTTTAATTTTTTCCTTTTAATGTTTTCATTTTATGGTCCATTTCTTTACCTTTTTCTCTTTTTTTTCTTATCTTCTTTTCTTGTTTGTTCTTTTCTGTTACCTTTATCTAATTCTATAAATATCCATCTACTCCTCAATAGAATCCTTTGTCTTATGTTTTCTCATTTCGTACTGTGTAGTTTTTCAAAATTTTCTTCTATTTTCTCCTCCCCAGTGCTATATATATTTACTATTATTACCATTAAGCTTTAGTAATATTTATATAGTTGGTTAACTATACATTATTATTACTATTATGTTACTATTATTATTAGTGGTGCTATAGTCACACTTAGTCGATATATATACTGTATGGCAATATTTGGTTTGTCTTAGTGTTTATGCTATAAATATAGATATCTTTTCTATAGTTGAAAGTGGTAGATTGTTAGTTCTTATGATATGTCAATATCCAATTTGTCTTAGATGATAATATTATTGCTGATTTACTTGTTATTGCCAGGGTCACAGAGTTGTTGCTGCTATTAGGTTTTCTCTATATGCCAATCATCAGATTACCCTTGTGTCATTAACAATACTGCAGTCCATTTCCAGAGAAATGGGTGCTGGACCATTTGTATTATATCCTCCCCTCCCAAATTAAAGAAGGTGGTCAGATCTTGGGACAGAAACAAAGAATTATAGTTAGCCATGCCTAGAGTACATTCCTGAAAAGCAGAAACTAACTAAAAATCTCCATACTAGCAACAAAGTCTTTCCATTGTAAGCACCCACAAACCTTAGAACGAAACAAAACAAATAGAAACATGACAAGACAAGGCAACAAAATGCCTTCCAACTCCTCCAAAGCCAATCCATGGGGCATTAAAGGGGAGAAAAGTAAAAACCACACAGCTGAATTATTTTTAAAAATAACAGAGGAGATTTTTTTTAAAAAGATCAATAAGGTACTCAAGAGGCTCACAGGAGATATAATTAAACAGATAATAGATGTAACTTGTTACATCTTGTTAGATGATCAGAGAGCTTACAGAAGACACTAATAAAAAGGTAACTGAGCTAAACAAAATAATACAAAACATAAATAACCAATTTAGCAAAGAATTAGTCCATGAAATGATTTCAAACAGAAATCCAATAGATTAAAAATTATATTGGAAGTATGGGCAGCAGAAGCAGCCAGTGTGAAAACAGAGCGTCAGAAGTAGAAGATGGGGCTTCTGTCAAAGACCAGTTACTCAGAGATACCCTAAAAAAAAAGAGAACATAAAAAATGGATCCAACAGCTGCTAGATGACACAAAGAAGACTAATCTAAGATTAACTGAAATCAGTGAAAAATCGGAAGACAGCAAAAACGGCACTAAAGAACCTATTTACAAAAATAATAGCAGGAAAACTTACCAAATTAGGGAAAGAATTAAATGTATGACAAAGTGAAGTATATAGAACCCCAAAGAGCCACAATGTAAAGAGAACCTCCCCATGACACATCACAGTCAAAAATCCCTGAAGTCCAACGCAGAGACAGAATCTTAAAAGCTGTTAGAGAAAAGCAACAAATCACTTGTAAAGATAAACCCATTAAAATTATAACACACTGTGCTCGCTTCAGCAGCACATATACTAAAATTATAGCACACTTCTCAACAGAAACCTTAATAGCTAGGAGAGCTTGGAGTGAAGTGTTTCAAGGACTAAAAGAAAACAACTTTCAACCCAGGCACATATATCCTGTAAAACTATCTACCAAAATAGATGGACAGATAAGATATTTCTGTTGCAAAGAGAACTTCATGAAATTCATTACCACCAAACCAGCATTACAAAAAATTCTCAAGGATATCCTAGAGACAATGAAGTCAACAATGCCAATAAGTCAAATAGAATGAATACACCAGGCAGCATAAGCAGTTACAGAGAAAGGACGGGGAAGGAATCAACATGAGAATAATGCAAGAATATGAGTAAGTCAATAACTTTCAGTAATAACTCAAAGTGGATGGTCTCAATCCCCCAAACAAAAGACACAGATTGGCAGAATGGATCAAGAAGTAAAACTCAAAACTGTACAATGTATAAGAAACACATTTAATCATGAAACAAATACACAAATTTTAAAAAATCAAGTGGAAAAACAATATTCCATGCAATGAGACCCCAGAAAAAAAGCAGGAGAAGTTATCCTAATTTCAGACAAAGTGGACTTCAAACCAAAATTGATCCAAAGAGCCGGACTACATATTGGATAAGGAAACAATTCAATAGGAAGAGTTAATAATTATAAAGATAAATGCACCAAACACCAGTGCACTCAAATTCATAAAACAAACATGACTAGACATTTTAAAAATCATGTAAACTCCTATACAATTATAATTGGGACTCTCAATGCCCCATTGTCACAATCATACAGATTGACTAGACAAAAACAGTCAAAAAAGAATCATTAGAATTTAGCAAAACCTTCAAACAAATGAACTTAATAAATATCTACAGAATGTTCCACCCAACAACAACAACAGAATACACATTCTTCTTGGTAGCACAGGTACCTTCTTCCAACACAGAACACGTGTTAGCCCATAAAGCATGCTTAAGTAAATGCAAAAGAATCAAAATTATCGCATGCATATTACCAGATCATAACGCACGAAACTAGAAATCAATGGCTAAAAAAAATTAAACAAACAACTGGATATTAAACAATATATTCTTGAATAATCTTGACCAATGATATTTTATCACAGAAGAAATCAAGGAAAAAATAAGTCAATTGCTACAAACAAACAATAATGCAAGTACTATAAACCAGAACCT